GTGATGGCTCCAAGGCCAAAATACGAGGATCTGTGCAGGTCTTTGAAAGCCGCGGGAAAGAAGGACAAGTGCCAGAAGAAATCGAGGGCCGAAAAAAAACAGTCGAAATGTGATGGGCAGAAGCGGTGCCGGCCCCTCAGCGAAAACGGAGCACAAGCACAGCCGCAAATCCGGATCGAAAGTTACAGTCCCTTCGAGTGCACGGGAGATTTCAACGCTGAAAGAACGTAACGAGTCGCCCCCCTCGACCCCTGTCCGGGGAAAGCGCGGAAGCGGCGCCGAGAACCGTCCGCCAAGGGCCCCAGAAAAAAGATCGAGGGATGATAGAAACGCGACTACGCACCGCAGAACAAAGAAGAGAATATCCTACAAAGACGACAGAACAGTGGAGACAATCGATATTAGAGGGTCTGACGACAGACACAGCGGACCCCAAGTGGAAGAAGAGGAGGAACACGACCGTTCCGCGTCAGAGAAGTCAGATGGTGCGGAGGACGAGGAGTCAGGAAACGAGGGAGACGACAGCAATTCTTCCCGCAGACAATCGCAAGACACCGATGAGGACGACGACAGCGACGGCAAGTCGACCAGCGAGAGAACCGGCGAAGACCAGAGCGCCGCTTCGGAAAGAGGTGGTTCGCCATTTCCTTCAAGGACGTTGCGCAGAGAAGGAGAACGGCAGGCACGCAATGGCAGCGACACTGAGGAGCGTGTCGGTGACAGACAAATCGTATAGCACGTCAGCGCTGCCGGAAAAGGTAAAAAAAACCGCGTCGCACTGACTCCCCTCCCACTCCGATCACAGAATCTCGTGCCCCCATGCGGTGCACGCCTTTACTCACGGAGAAGTGTCTTTGAAAACGCACAGCTGATAGCCGAATCTTCAATTTTGCAAGTGCTGTATTCAAAACAAGGCGCTGAGTTGGTAACACTCTCCTGTGTGTCGTGTCTTCTGTTTCCCACCGATCGCAACGTCACGAACGAAAGTGCCCGCAAGCGGCGGAGCCGTGCAAGGACCGAAGGACGAGGGCGCCACATTCGCGAAGAAAATGAAGGGCAAGCTGTTGCGTTCCGTCGCCAAAGCCTTTGCGTTCTCTGCGGAAAACGACGCAACTCTGTACCCGACAGAGGACGCGTTTTTCGCGGCGGTGCAAGCGACGGCGAAACTGGCAGGGGAGACAGCAGGGGAAGGGCTGCGGTCTCACATAGCAGAGTGCGGGATTCGAGCTGTCATAGGGGAATGCAACAGAATGATGACGACGATCCGTGGAGAGATTACATGGCAGCTGAAACATTCGTTTTTGGCTGAAAAAGGGATTTCGCTCGTCGGATCGCAGCAAACGGACCACCACCTCCCCTCTCGCAACAAGATGCGCACCGAGATGAAGGAGAACAAGACGTGGAGACGGAGCAGCGACGATCCGTGGGGCGCCTCTGCCTTCAAGATGACACTCTTAAAAGTTTTTCAGATGAGAAAGGAAGGCCGAAACTTGGGTGTCACCCTGCAGCAACTGACTTTTGCGGAGATGGTCATTCAATGTGAGATAGAACAGACAACGAAGACGGCACGAGCTGCGGAGGAGATAGAAAAATTGGTATCTATAAAGCAGGCAATCGTCTCATCTCTCCGTAGCCGAGACACGGTAATGAGTTTTTCTGTCTTCAAACTGGACCGTTTCGTATCCGTGGCTGAGAAGGCAGGAACGCTCTTTCGCTCTGGCACGCCGTCTGTCCACAGGCCTGGGCCTCCAAGCACCACAATAACGGATGACGATTACGACATCGAGTTTATTCTCCCTCAGAGTACAGCAGCCGGAGACGGGGACAGGCGCACCGACAGTCTGTGCGCCGCACCCTGAACAACGAGGGACAGTTTGGCGACATTTCGACATGGAAGGGAGGATGCGGGGCAATGACCAAACGGTGGAACGAAAAGTTCTTTTTTTAGACGTTTCGAACCAGGAGATGCAAAATCGAAGGCCACAGTCGGTGCAGGATAGAGAGAGAGAGAGAGAGAGAGAGAGAG